TCTCATGCTGTAACGCTTTATGACATGAACAATAACAGATTAACATTCCCTTTTACTGGAATGCTCAAAATAGAGAATTCAAAGTGCATAGAGTCTGATTGGATGGAAAGCTGAATCCCATAAACATGACTTGGCACCGCGAGGGTCTCATTGACCTTGGTGGGGCCGTGATTGTGTTCCCTTCAAATGAGGCATCGGAGCTTGCAGAGATGGGGCACAAGCTTGTGTGGGGCTAAAATCGCAGTGCTGCTGTCAGAGACTTTTGCTGTTCTTGAATGTTTCTTGGATTACTTAATGGTGAAACCTTAGGCTGCATCAGCAAAATGGTCTTTCCCTCACCATCCACCTGGGATTTAACAAATAGGAGAGTCATTCTTTAAGCTTAAGGATCATTGTAAAGCCATTTAAAATTAGATCCACTCATTGTTTGAGAATCATTTGGCAAAAAAGCACTTGAAAATCTCCCAATGTGGGCTGTCTGAAGACAGATGTTGTTTCTGGTTTCTGGGCTGTTTGGAAAGAAGGTAGGACTAAATGCAGCCACCTTAAATGGTCGGGCAAATACAACAGAGAGGAGGGAGAGCTGCTGCTTTTCAGGAGTGAGGCATTTCTGATACATCAGTTGCTCGAAGTGATGGTTGTTTTTAAGAGGAATGCTGCTTATTCCCTTGTATAATCTCTGTATTGCCAACTGTGTTTTTTAGGATGTCTTTCTAGCTGTATATTATCACTGAATGATGTAGTCCTAAATAATAAACAGATGAGGAACCGATTGAGAAGAAAAAGAGGAAAAATGAAAATGAAATTAAATCTGATGCTGTGTTTAACACAAAAAAATCCCAGCTGGGATTTTGCAGACTATAAACCGTGGGCGAAGAATGAGACAAAGTTATATGAAACCTGTGATCCTGAGGTGCTGAGGTTGTCCTGCATAGACAGCGGCACATACAAGTTAGATAAATTTGCAAATCGGACCACGTACAACCCCAAATCCCACCAAAATGCCAGAGGAGATGAAGTAATGCTCGAAATCCTTTTCCTGTCCCTAGAGAGTGTCCCACAGGGCACATTGGTGGTCTGGAGCTAGAAGGTGCGAGCAGCTGTTCATCTGAGGAACCTGTTGTGCTGAACCCTGGATCCAGAGTCTGTAGGTTTGGCCACCTACAGTGTGGATGTGTGGAGGATCAGGTTGAAAGGCCAAAGCAAAGGTGGTTATTTTGTGTGTGATGTTTTTATATGCAGTAATAGCATATCAGTAGTAAAAAAAAAAAATAAAAGGAGAAAAATGAGATTTCCTTTTGCTTTGGCGAACAGAAGTGAATACCTTTAAATTTTCAAGTGGGGCTGGGACTTAAAGACATTTATGCATTCATTTTTGTGTGGTTGTGATTGTTACAGAAATGTAATTGGGGATGGATGGACTTGGTTTTAGGTGACCTTCTTGAGTGTGTGTTGGCAATCAGTTACCAAAGGAGGCATATGTTACTAATTTTTTTGAGCTTTATGAAAGAGAGTCTCTCTTATGGTATATATAAATGGACTTTCTTATCTCAGTAAAGTTAGCTGCTTGAGGGAGTATACTCTTTAGGGCAGAGATACAGTGAGAATGGATTTCAGAAAGGTTCAAATAGTTTTTATCTCATGAAATCGACCCTGCATGAAATTCTCTTTTAGAATATTGATACTCTCTGCTGTGGGCCAGAGGCAGCCCAGGCTGGCACAGCTAATTCACTTTGGCCATGCTCCAGCAGAGCATCCTGTTTCCAGAGTGGTTAAACGTGTGCTTATCTTTAAACAGGCAGCTAAATCCTGGTGGTTTCACTGCTGCGCTGGACTAGGGCTTCTTGACCAGGGAACAGGTCAGCTGTGAGGAGAACCTGTAGCACATCCCTCCTCCAGGATTTCTTTCCCTTGGTTAGGGCTGGGCCTGTTATTGGAGAAGTGATAGAGCGACACATGCCTGGGCTGACTCTGTGTCAGGGCTCAGTGTCCCCTGCTGATCCCCACGTGTGGGTGATGCCAGTGAGGCCCTCAGCTGAGGGGGGAAGAGGAGACACCGTTCCTCTGGGCTGATGGCGCTGGGAGACACTGCATTAGCTGATCATGGGCAGGAGAACGGTGACAAGCATGTGCAGGCGTGTCCGTGGCTGCTCGGAGCTGGCCACAGCACAGAATGGCTCCATGGGTGCTCCAGAGTCAGCCCGGGTGCTGCAGCTATGGGCTGGGGCCTCTGTGGTGTGCGTGCTCGAGAGACAATTAAAAGAGACAATTAAACCATGTTTTGAAAAATAAATTACCTTTGCTGTTTGACGTTTCCAAGAAAGCAAAGCAACCTGCCCTTCCCCCTACTTAGATCCCACCTGCTTTGGTTTTTTTTTCCTAGAAAAATGTGAAATTCATTAACGTGTTGAATGCAATGTAATTACATCATCTTGATTTAAAATCTGTTTTAAATCTTAAAAAGACAGATTCAGAATCTTTACTGCAAATAGCCTTGCTTTTGTGGGTATGAGGCAGACTGTCAACATTACTCGAACATCTCTATTTTTAGTAGTTTAGCGCCCTTTGCAACAATATAATTTGAAAAAGAAAGCAAGAAGAGATGTAGGTAAAAAAAAGAAATCGTTGTTATTCGTGTTAGAAGCCAAGTCCTGCTTGCTGTGCTCAGATGTAGCTGCAGTGCCACGGGAGAGGGGAGTGAACAGGTCCTGGCTCAGGCACAGGACGTCGGTTCTGTCCGCATCCTACAGTGCCTCTTGTCCGTCCCTTCTCATATTGCCTTGAGGGCCTGTTTAGACCCAGTGCCATCCTGAGCCTCCTTTGGCACAGCCTGTGGGTTTTACTTCTGCAGTCTCCTCCTGACCTCTGACGGTAAAATAAGAGAGTTAAATTGGTTTCTTTCCTAGGACTTGGGATTCCAATAGCATAATCCCAGCATTTTATTAATTGCAGCAAAGGCGATCCCTCAACATCCCTGTGAACCTCGTTGCTGTTGCCACTGTGTTGAATATTGTGTTTTTGTTTGGGTTGCTTAGTGAAGGTCTGGTGCCGAGCAGCGCTCCCTGTCCAAAGTTTTTCTGCTGCTTCTGATCTGTGTGTCTACTCGATAACTGGAAATGCTAAAAGGTTCTTTGGAGGTTTTGACTTTTGAGAAGTGTTTCAGTTAGAAATATTTGCTGCTATGAGATGACAGATGCAGGAGGCTGAAGTAAGGCTGTTTTGCTTGTTGTGGCCACTTGCTCTTAGGTGTTTTAGCCTGGAATGGACCTGACCGAGGATTCATCAACCCTTTTTCATTTGCATTGCCAGCTCCATCCCCACACTGATTTATCAGAACACTGCTGCTTCTAGGCTAGGCACATAAGCGTACCATAGCAGG